AAAAGAAGATTTTTAGGGCCAAATATGTTCTTGTGCAGTTTAATTTAAGTGAGTCCTAACAAGAGACAGTACTGACATCACATCACATTTGGTCTCATCACATCATCAACCGTTCTGAGTTTTTCATTAATGAAAATAAAAAATGTCTTAACATCACCGTTCTCATTGCAGATGATGGAGTGACCTCTAATAAACCTCAGACTCCGACACTCCATCCCAGGCCTGGGATTCCCCTTCTATGAAGACTTTGTTTACAGTCACTGCTTTGGCTCGGCTTCATCATCTCTTGATGAATTACTGCAATGATGGTGCCTCCTCACAACTAGTTTCTGTTTCTTATGCCTCTTCTCTGCCCCAGTCTCTTCTTCACACCACTGAATTTCCTCTCTGAAATGTAAAGCTGACCATGTCACTCCTCCATCTAAAACTCTTGATTAGTTCCCGTCACCTACAGGATAGTACAGAACAAGACCCAGCTGGATCCGCCTAGAATGTCTTTTTTTATCTGCTTAGGTAATTTCTACTTATTCTTCAAAACCTGATTCATGTCACATGCTCTGTGATGCTCTCTCTGATTCCCTGAGATAGTCTCAATCATTCCCTCCTCTCGTTACCTTGCACATCCTTCTGTTTTGCACCTATCACGCCAAACAATCAAGGATAATGAGTTATTTATAGAACTATTTCCTTCCTTAAGGGCAAGATCATGTGTTTTCTTGTTTTTGTGTACTTAGCTCCTAGCACAATGGTGAAATGTGGTAGAACCTCAATAAATGTTTTGTTGAACTAAGCACAGTATTTTAAGAACTAGTAATATTCATTTGCAAACACAAACCAATGAACTAATAAAACTCTTTTTTCTGTATTTAGGCAACCTGGTGTACTGGAAATGGCATGCCACAAACCAGCTGTGTGATCTGGTTCTGACGTGCTATGGTCCCCCATCCCTGGAGATAGCGAAAGGTATCTCTACTTGTCTTATGGGTTGAATTGTGTTTCCTCCAAAATCCATATGGTGAAGTCCTTAGAATGTGACCTCATTTGGAGACAGGATCTTTACAGAGTTAACCAAGTTACAATGAGGTCATTAGAGTGGTGTTATGGGCTGAAGTGTGTCCCCACTCCCTAAACTTCATGTGTTGGAGCCCTAACTCCCAGTACCTCAGAATGTGACTGTATTTAGAGATAAGGTGTTAAAAGATGTGATTAAGTTAAAATGAGGTCATTAGGGTGCATGGGCCCAAATCTAATCTTAATGATGCCCTTATAAGAGGAAATATGATCACAGAAGGAGACATGAGGGATGCACATGCACAGAGGAAAGACCATGTGAAGACTCAGCGAGAAGGCGGCCATCTACAAGCCAAGGAGAGAGGCTTCAGAAAAAGACCAATGCTGCAAAACTTTGGTCTTGGACTTCTAGCTTCCAGAATTGTGAGAAAATAAATTTCCATTATTTAAGCCACCTAGCCTGTAGTATTTTGTTATGACAGCCCTTGTTGTTGTCAGTGCTGTTGAGTTGATTCTGATTCTTAGTGATCCTTTGTATAGCAGAGTGGAACAAACCCTGCCAGGTCTTTTGTGCCATCCTCACGCCTTCTGCGCTGTATCAGACAAGGCTCCACTGCTACTCATAGGGTTTTCATGGCCAGTTTTTTGGAAGTGGGTGGCCTTCTTACTAGTCTATCTTATTCTAGAGGCTCTGCTGAAACCTGTCCACTGTGGGTGACCCTGCTGGTATTTCAAATACCGGTGGCATAGCTTTCAGCATCACAGCAACATGCAGCTTCCACAGTAGGACAATTGACAGATGGGTATTGTGGTTGCCTGATGAGGAAACAAAGCCAGGCTGTGGCAGTGAGGGCACAGAATCTTAACCACTAGACCAACAGGGCTGATATTAGCTCTAGCAAACTAATTACAGGTGAGCCCTAATGCAATATGACTGGCATCCTTAAGAGAAAGGGAAATTTTTATGGAGATATGCATAGAAGGAAGACAATGTCAACAGACATAAGGAGAAAGCAGCCGTCTACAAGCTCAAGAGAGTGGCCCAGAACAACTCCTTCCCTCATAGCCCTCAGAAGAAACCAACCCGGCTGATACCTTGATTTTGGACTTTCGGCCTCTGTAACTATGAGACAATAAATTTGGATTGTTTAAGCCACCCCGTTTGTGGTACCTTGTTACAGCAGCCCTAGCAAACTCACACACCTTGGTAACCCTTTATTAGCACTTCTTACTAATGTACATACAAACTTAATCATATGATATCAACTCTGGAAAGAGCTTCACCAGTTCACCCTTTTCATTTTACAGATGATAAAACAGAGGCCAGGAAAGTGAAATTCTGCCCTGTGACAGGCGTTTCTCTTAATGACTGAGCTGAGATCCTGACAGGGCTTTACCATGGCGCCATGATTCTGCTTCTTGTCCCTCCATATCTCACAAGAGTCTGCTCTCTACCCAATAAATCTGGTCAAGCTAGTGCATACTTGGTTCTCAAAGTGGCTTAGGTGAGTAAGAGCATCCTTACATGCTTCTTTAGAATGTCATGAGCCAAGTGCAGTAGTGTAAGCTTTATGGCCTACCAAGACTTTGGAATGCACTAATTAAATTCTTGTTAAATCACATTGAGGAGCATGAAGAGAGTTCTCCCTCTTTTTTGAGACAGACTAGGTTATACCTTTGTGCCCTGTCTTTACTCTAAGAGGGTTGCTATGATCAGAGAGGGCTGTGCAGGGGGAGGGGCTACTGCTTCCTCAGCCCCAAGAAAAAACCCACATTTTTATTATGATTAATAAGGCATTTAAAGTGAATTGTCTCTTCTACCAGTACCTATGAGGATTCCAAGATCAGACAGCTCAGCTTTGCCACTTGCTCTACGTGTGACCCTTTTTTTTTTGGTGAGGAAGATGGTTGCTGAGCTAACATCTGTGACAATCTTCCTCTGTTTTGTATGTGGGATGCCACCACAGCATGGCTTGAAGAGCAGTGTTTAGGTTCGCACTTGGGATCCAAACCTGTGAACCCCAGGCCACCGAAGTGGAGTGCGCAAACTTAACCACTACGCCACTGTGGTGGCCCTTCTATGTACGACCTTTTTATATCTTTGTTTCCTCATCTATAAAGTCGATACTAATACTATTTGGTTGTTGTGAGGATTAAATGAAGTGCCATGTAACTGACATATAGCAAACAATGAAGACCTGTCAGTTGTTATTACTTTGGATAAAGAATCTAAGTCTTAGACAGGTTAAGTGACTTATCCTTGTAAGTAGAAAGGGTAGAATTGGATCTAGGATCTCTAGGGCCACATTCTGTAAACTCTAAACGATGTGACACTGCTTTCTTGGTCCTGGTAGCACGTTCTGATTGGCTGTGGGCAGGGAAAGAGGTCCGAACTGGAGGACAGCCTCTGAATGTGGTTTGCACGCAAGGGGGACAAGCAGCCAGACACATCTAGTGGGTGGACAGGTGACTAATTCTGCTGTGAATGGGAGAGGCAACATGCAGTGGGTTAGCTTTACCAAAGAACTCTCAGATGCAGACTGGAGGCCGGATGTGATTTTTCCAGCAGTCCATCTGGGAATACCTGCAGGGAGTCTCTGACTAGAGGTGCTATGCTGAAGGGCATAACCTGGCTGGATTCCCTTGTCCCCGCATCCTTTGTCATCTGGAAAAGTCCTCCTCATAGACTATGGTACACAAGTCTCCTTGGAATGATTCCTATTTCTTCACAGTGGACACAGAGGAGAATGTCAGGGTATTAGTAATGCCTTGCAGGGCCAGCACACTGGTCCTTTTGTCCCCGAACTTATCTGAGGGGTGGCCACAAGATCAGTTGGTGAAAAGATTCAGTGGTCTATCTTGTTTCCAACCTTAAGTGGTTAGATGGCCTGACTTAATGAGCCTTCCCTTCCTTTTGTTAACAGAATAATGATGCTTTTCTTTATAGAGAAAGAGCCGTCAGGGGCTGGCCCAGTGGCGCAGCGGTTAAATGCACACATTCTGCTTTGGCGGCCCAGGGTTCGCCAGTTCAGATCCAGGTTGCAGACGTGGCACTGCTCATCAAGCCATGCTGTGGTAGGCGTCTCACATATAAAGTAGAGGAAGGTGGGCACGGATGTTAGCTCAGGGCTGATCTTCCTCAACAACAGCAAAAAGAGCCGTTAGAAGATCTAAGGTTAGGTGCTGACTCTATCATTTACAAGCTGAAGAAACTTGAGGAGGGCACTTAAATGCTATGAGCTTCAAGTTCCTTATCTGCAAAATGAGGATGCTGATAATTCTTATCCGGCAAGGTTCTTGTGAGGATCAAAAGAGATTACACAGTTGAAAGTGCTTTGCCAACAATAAAGTGTTATTTGCTTTATCATTATTGCCAGCTTCATAGTCCAAGTCATAGAGAGCTGACCCCCCTGGCTCTCTGACCTGCTATAGGATTCACAGTCCATGCCGTAAAAGGTGGCCCTTCATTATATCCTGCTTTTCATTACTGAGCAAATGTTTCATGTCTGATCCTTACCACACGTTGTTAGAGAGCAGAGCTCATGTATTGTATCTATTCCCAATTTCCTACAGCATAAGTGATCAATAAATACTTACTAATGGTGTAGGACTGTTCTACCATTAGTGGAAGCTGGACTGGAGGGTCAGGACCTGCCGCCTGCACTCCCTCACCCAGCCGCCCTTGCATGTTGGAACCAAGGCAGGAGGGGAGAGGAAGGGTCACAGCCTGGAGACCTGGGCTCTGGGTCTGGCTCCATCATTTCATATTGGTTTCCTCAGCGTGAACTCAGTGTCATAATGCCACCCTGGTCATTATGAGCAGAGGGCACTCACTGAATGCACGTGAGAGGCTTTCATAAGCCATACAGAAAATATAAAGCATGTTTACCAAGGTGAGAGCCATGGCCATGGAAGCAAAGCAATCGGTCCAGGTGGGGACTGAACCCACATCATTAATGTGGCACGCTAGCTGCCACCAGGGCACTCACCTGGGGGATCCGGCCTACATCCCGCCCACGGGCTGAAGGTCTGGGAGTAGCTGCTGATGGGGTTGCTCACGGTGCAGATATAGACTTTGTTGGCATGCTGAGGGCCGAGGGTGAGGTACAGGAGGTGGGAGCCGTTGGCTGGGCTCAGTGGGTGGGTGACCGCCTCCTCACTCCATCTATAAGCCACATGGTCCCCCTTCTCCACCATGCAGGCCAGCACCAAGCTGCAGTTCCCATTCTCCTGGGTCCGGTTCAACACTTTAATTTCTGGAGTGGAGATCTGCTCTGTCAGGAGGGGAAGGAAGGAAGCCATTACTGAAATGAATCCCCTGGAATTCTGACTTAACCTTTGTGTTAAAAGAAAATGCAGCCTAATGATATTTTTCCCTCTCTGTGTGTCCGCAGTGTGATTTATTTCTGGTGGGGACCTACTGCTTTGCACTGTCCCTCTCTCCCCTTATGCTCCTTTCTGGTACCACCTTGGGATAAAATAGAGAAGAAAAATTCGCCTTTTAGCCTCCTCCTATGAATGCTTTGAGGGCTCCACTTGCCCTTCCTGGTGCTTCTGACCTCCTGAATTCTATCCGTGGAGTTTGTCTTTTAATTGTCATTGGCTAAATAAAGTATTACCTCTTAGACCTAAAAGAATGACTTTTAGTGGTGGAATTTTATCTGGTGTATATGTGTGTGCGTGTGTGTGTGTGGCAAGTGCTCTAGTGTGTCTGGAGTAGGGATAGTCACAAGCCCCCAGTAATCTATCTCACTTTAATGTCATGAAATAGACAAGGGAAAGGGGAAAGTTTTATTTATTTAGCAACTACTATAGGACAGGCCCAATTTTGGAATTTCACATTCATCATATTCTTTAATCTTCTCAACAATTATAACACTAGTTATAATTATTTCCATTTTATAGATGAGGAAACTGAGTCCTGGAGAGAGAGTGTGTCTTCCATAATGTCACTCAGTTTCTAAGCAGCCAAGCTGAGATCTGAACTTAGGTCTGTCTGACTCCAAAAATCCAGCCTCTTTCTTTGACTTGAGAAGAACATCATGGTTGCAGAGACCATATTTTCCAAGGTAAGAATTTAATCACAAGATATGACAAAGGCAGTGACCTGTTCTGGAAAACGTGTGATGCATAATCTCCATGCTCATGGCAGCCTTTCCCCGGGGCCACAGCTGGACTAGTCAGAACTCCCTGGTACCTGGTGGAAGGCTGTGGGAATTCTGCATCCACTGTTTGGAGGAAAGGGAATGCTAGGGGTAGTGAAGAGCAGGGAGAGTATCACTGTCTCTCCAGTAGGTACCCAAGGATTTCAAAGAAATGCTGGCTCTCTGTCCCATCCTCAGACATAAGGAAGTCACTGTGAAGAAGCAGGACAGCCCACGTGGCTCTCAGGATTCCAAGGAATTCCAGGGAGCCTCTGGATGCACTCAAGAGGGGTTGGCAGTTCAAGAGACTCAATAAAGCACTGGCCTTACATTCAGATAGACCTAGGTTCTAGTTTAAGTTCTGCAACTAAGCGACTACAAACCAGAGCCTTTGTTTAAATGAGGAAAAGGTGCCTCTTCCACCAGGGCGCAGGGCTTGGTGAGTGGTGCGTGGGCTGAGTTTCAGCTCTCCTTTCCCCAGGACTCCTAGTGCAGTGAACCACCCACACAGATGTGTGTAACATGTGCAAACCGCTTCTCTCTGGATTTCAGTGTCCTCTATGAAAGAGAGGTTGGGCTTCATCAGTGGCATTCAAACTTTTTAAAAATCAGGAAAAAAACCCCAACTTTTTTCAAACAAAGTCTTATTTGCAAATTGAGACTCGTGGGCTCCAGGTCTTCTAGCTCACAGGCAGCTGGGCCTCTTTTCTTGGGGAAATGGGGTAAGGGTTCCTAGTGCTCATCAGCTCCCACCAATGGGCAATTTGGACAAAAAAGATTTGTGAACTTCTAAAACTTCTTCCTGAAGTTCAGTATAAATACCCCTGGACTAGATGATCTCTCAGGTTGCTTCCAATTCTGAAGACCCTTTGCTTCAGAGAGGCCAAATTTCTTAGGCAAGGGACCATCTCGGGGGAACCCACCATTACCATAGAGCTTCAGCTGCAGGCAGAAGTGCTGAACCGAAATGTTTCCTTCCAGGGTCATGATGTACCAGCCCTCATCCTTCTTCCTACTTTCCGGGATCTCCAAGCTCAGGTTTTCCAGATGAAACTTGTAACCATCCTCCAGATAGCCCACAGAGCTTCCTTCCGGCAGACTAAGAGAGACTATTTTCTTCTTGACGCTACTTCCCTGTGATTCTGCCTTTGCGACAAGGATGTGGATGCTCTCGTTCATGCTCTTACTTATCCCTTGAGATGTCAGGGGCAGCAGCACACTGCTTCCCAACCGCCCGAGGATCTTTGGGCAATTCATCAAGCCCTCACCTGTGGGAGGAAGGAGAAGAAAATCTCTTATTACGGAGCCCTTTGAGAATCACATCGTGTCTGTGCATCAGGAATGGCAGACTGGAGGCTCTCCCACCTCCTCTTGGATTATTTCTAGGGTTGTCAGGTCCTTAGTATTTGATAAGGACTGTCATGAGCGTCCCACTACATTCTCAGTCTCTAAAATCCCAATGGAAATTTTAAAATTGCTTTGATAGAACTGTATAGACTAACTAGGACACTGGGTTTCTTTGATCTGGGAAGGAATTGTATCAACTCAGATTTATAGCTATGGCACTTAAGACATAGAGAGGTTAAGTGACTTCTCTAAAGTCACATAACTAGTAACTGGACTAGAATCTGGGTCAGCTAATTCCTTGACCAGACTTCTCACCACCATTAGGTATATAGTATGAAGATGGAGAACAATCGAAAGTGTTTCTGAGCTCTTGAGCCCAGAGGACCAAGGTTATAGAAGCATCATTTTGGAAGATGAGGAGAGAAAATCTGAGGGATGTGGAGTCAGGAAGGTTGTAAGCTCAGTGTTCAAACTATGGAATCCTGGCTCTCCAAAACACTGTAAGATAGTTAATAATGTTGAGGGTGAGAACTTATTTTATTTCTCTTTTTCAAAAAAGCTGAGCCAACAACAACCAAAAACAAAAAACCTCACCAAAAACCTTTCAAACCACTGTAAGGAATCCTACTGCTGACAATTTAACACCTCCTCTTTCCTCAAACCCCAAACCTCTGCTGATAGCCTTGCTTCTCATTTCACTGAAAAAGTAGAAGAAACAAAAAAAACCCTTCTATTTGTAACCACCACCAAATCAACCTACCTACTTGGGAGAATAGTCTATACTCCCATTTAAGGCTTGCCTCTCCCCTCATGGAGAAGTCACCTACATCAAGGCTTTGCTCCTGCTATTGTCCCCATCCTTTGCATCATTAGCTTTATTGTTGGCACAGCATGTTGTGGGTTATTTCCATCAACACACAACACACCAACAGGTAATTTCCTTCATCTTAAAAATCCCTCGCCTGATCCCAGGTCCATTCCCAGCTGCATCTCCATTTCTCTGTTTTCCTTGATTGAAAAGTCCTTTAATGTGTGTTTATACTTTCTGTCCCCATTTCCTGAGCCATTTTTCCTTGTAACCACTCCAAACAGGCATTCTTCCCTACTGGTCACTGGAAACACTCTTGTCAAGGTCACCGGATATTCCATGAGACCAGGTCAATTCTCCGTGCTCATCTTGCTTTCTCAGAAGCCCTTGACGTAATTCATCACTCCCTCTTTGAAACACTGTCTTCCTTTGGCTACTGGAACACCACACTCTCCGTTTTCTTCCTATTTCATTGACTGCACCTTCTCAGTCTCTGACTGGAAACTTCTGCTCTTAAATACCTCTAAATATTGCAGTTTCCCAGAACTCAGTATTCCGACCTCTTCTCTTTCCCAGTCATGCTTATCCAGTTGCATAGTTTAACATATTTCTGGAATGCTTACAGAGATACATCTCCCACCCAAACCCTTCACTGTACTCCAACTTGCCTACACAGATCAGTATTTGGAGGTCTTAAGGGCACGTCAAACTTAGCAAATGAACTCTTGATTCCATAGCCCCTTCTGCAAACCTTACAATTCCCCCAAATTCTCAAGCCAAAACACTGGAATCATCCTTGACTCCTTTCTTTCTCTCATACTCCCCATGCAGTCTATCAGCAAATCCTGTTAGCTCTGTCTTCAGAAGAGATCTGGCACTCGAGCCCTTCGAACCTCCTTCATCTCTACCCTCACAGGCCTGGGCACTGCCACTGTCTTCCAACTACTCTCCCTGCATCCATACAATGGACAGAATAATCTCTTACAAACTATGTCAGAGTTTGTCTCTTTTTGGCTTTTAACTTCCAGGGCTTTCCAGCACCCATAGAGAAAAAATTCATAGTCCTCTTTATGGCTTCAGAGATCGAATAACCCAGTCCTCGGTGCCTCTCCAACTCTATTTCCAGCCCTTTTTCCTTCTCTCACTGCACCAAGGCCACACGGGCTCCAGCTGTTCCTTCACTCATCAAGAACATTCCTATCTCAGAGCTTTTGTGTTTGCTGTCTTCTCTCTCTCTAGGAATCTCTTCCCTTAGATATCTGAATAGCTCATTCTCTCACTTTATTTTAGGTTTCTGCTCAAAAAATTATCTCCTCTGAGAGACCTGCTCTGACCATCCTAACTAAAATAGCACCCCGCTTCTCATTGCACTTATCACTGTGTGGTATTGTATTTTTGTTTATTTTATTTTTGTCTCCCCCACTAGAACACAAACTCCTCAAGAGGAAGAATTTCATTGTTTTAACTGTTTTATCCCTAGAACCTTCAGCAGTGGTTGGCATATAGTAAGCCATATAAACATCTGTTCAATTTGTGAACACCGAAAGCCGTATTATCTAAAATCTCTCTTATTTAGCTTTGCCCCATATGTAACCGAACTTAATAACTGAACTTAACCATCAGCTAATGTTCATACAAGAAAGAGTCTGTGACTCAGAGACAGCATAGATTGTTCTGGTCGATAAGAAAATCAGAAGAGTAAATAAAACCGTCTGATTAAGTAATACAGCCACCTAGAAAAGACACAATTAACTTACGGTTAAGATGGGTTGTTGGAAAATTGGGCTAACAGGTCAAAATATTTTTGAGACCAGAATGCCCTGAAATCCCAGCACTGTCCTGGAAGTGTCCAGTTGACATCAGACTAGAGTGTCAGAGACTGGGAACAAGAGAAAAGCAGTCTACTTGGGCTAACATCAGGATTAAAGTGGTTGAGACTCATAATTATTAAGGAAAAGTGAGAAAGGCAATTAGGCATCTGTTCTTTTAAATATCGCTAATACATCAACGCTTAAAACAGTATGCTCTCCCTTGTTGCTTAATTGATTAGATGAGGAATACTGCTGTTGGTGGTAGTGTTTTTTTTTAAAGATTGGCACCTGAGCCAGCATCTGTCACCAATTTTCTTTTTTTTTTCTTCTTCTCCCCAAAGCCCCCCAGTCCATAGTTGTGTAGTCTAGCTGTGAATGCCTCTGGTTGTGCCATGTGGGATGCTGCCTCAGCGTGGCCTGATGAGTGGTGCCATGTCCGTGCCCAGGATCTGAACCAGCGAAACCCTGGGCTGCAGAAGTGGAGCATGTGAACTCGCTCAGCCACGGGGCCGGCCCTGGTAGTGTTGTTTTTGCAAAGATAAAGTGGGAAGCATGTTGGACTTTCTTCCAGTCACACTTATGAATGTCTGACTGTCCAGAGAATGTGGTAGGTACAGTACCCAAGAGAGTAACCTCTTGAATCCTGAACTTAAACGTCTATATATGAAGGGATAACAGAAAATTAGAGGCATATGTGCTAGTAGAAATGTCATATGGTGCACTAGCACCCCGAAATTGTGTACAAAAAGTTGTGTAGATAAGCATACATACACTTTTTGGGAGCACGTACATAAATGTCATCTCTCAAAAGGATCTGAGGTTCAAAACCAGATTAAGAATCACTATCATCCTGTTGACATTTTAGACCAATTTTGATACAGAGAAAAAAGAAATGGAAATGATCCTCCTTCTCAGATCATAACCCTCCACCCTCCCATTTGTCCCCCAAGTGCCCCTCCCTGAACTAACCCAACAGACTCTTTGCACTGTAGCTGCTTTCAGACTTGGAATTAGCTGGGAGTGGGAGGAAGAGGGGATATAGGATGAGGTAGGAAGTAGTCAAAAAAAAATCAAAGAGAAAATAAAAGAAAGAAAATAGGAGGGGAAAGAGGGAAAGAAAAGAAGGGGCAGAAGAAGAGGACAGGCTGAGCAGCTCGTGAACACTCAGTCATGGGGAGTGGAATCAAAACTTCATCAGGAAGAAACCCTCACATCCCACAACCCACATAAAGAATGATGACGTAACAACTGAGCGCGTGCGAGTGGCTGGGTCTAGAGGGGTTGCTTGAAATCATTGCCACCTAAGCAGGAGTGGAAAGATGAGTGGGGACTTTAAAGTGGTTCATCAAACCTCGCAAGTGGAGTCCCTGCTCTTGAAACGTCTGCCCTCCTGATGAGTGTTTTCCAGTGGGGCTGTGATTCAGTCGGCCCCTGTTTACTGAAAGAGTCTAGAGGAAACATTCGTAGCTGTTAGTACCAACTCACTTCCCTTCAGGGGTAACTCTACTTACAAAGTAGAGTGATTCACACGGGTCGCTGGATAGTTTCCTGAAATTGGTAGAATGTAGCAAACCCTTTCACAAGAGGGATTCTACCTATGACACTCCCATCCCCCATGGTTTTTCGGCCCAGCCCTGATCCTTTCACATGGGCTTGTTGCATCTGCTACAGCATTTCTTTCAGGTAAAGAAGAGGCAGAACTTATAGGCCTCACAGTTCTGATGGCAAATCTAGGCCCAGAAAGAAAAGAGAACTTGTCTAAGGCTGCTTTGTAAACAGTAGTCCCACCGGCCGTCCTCCTATTCCCATTCCTCGAAGCTGCTGGGTCTTTCTATCTTAGAGTGTTTGCACTTACCGTCCCCCAGCCTGAAAGGCTGTTACTGCTCATTAGGTGCCTGGCTAACTCCTTCCATCCTTCAGGTCTCAGCTTCTGACCCCTAGTGTGGATTAGGTTTCCCTACCACGTGCTTCTAATGCACTTTGCATCTCTCCGTCATATCACTCATCACGCTTTTGACTCTGGTTCACTGTCTGTCATCCTTATAATCCTCAATTATAAGCTTCCAAGAGTAGGGACTGTTTCTATTTTGTTCACTGCTATAATCCTAACAGCCACCTGGGACGTGATAGAAACGCAACAAATCCTTGTTGCCCAAGAGAATGAAAAAACTAAATGGGATGAATGAATGAATGAATGAATGGACAAACGACAACACAGAGTCTAAGTTCTCCTCTCTCCAAAGTTGGAATGTGCTCTTCTTTCCCTTTGCTACATCCCTAAGGGGTAGAGTATGGAGGGATATGATGGGAACCCTTCTCTCAGCTTGCCAGGTGAAGAGATGGAAGTGCCTTAGTCATGAACCTTAGGTTTCAGGTCTAACAGACCACTTACCATTCCCCCTCAACACTCACAACTCTTCACCCATGCATTTGTGCCTTCATTCAGAATACTCTTCAAGTCCTATAAAAATCCAACCTACCAGACATATATATTTGGAAGGACATGCAAGAAACTGGTAACAGTAATTGCCTCCAGAGAAGGGTACGGAAGGGAGATTTGCCTCCATCCAGTACCTTTTCCTATTGTTAAAGTTTTGCAGACGTTCATGTGATACTCTTTCAATAAACGAACTAGCTAGCAAAAAGGTAAATGAAAACTCACGTCGTGAGAGAAGTTATTCACTTTCCAAATTCCAGACCAAATATCTCCATGGGCATTCTACTTCTTGGTGATTTTATCAACTTCTCTCACCTTTTGAAAATTCCTATACTTCAATTCATTTCAATTCAATTAAAATCAAATCATATGCTTTACTTATAGACAGCATATTCTAATTTTTACCATAGGTCATGGACACAAATTTTAGCATTCCCTCCTTCCCTAAATATAAGCTTATGCAATTTCATTCATTGGGGCCTCTGGAGTCAGGTTGTGTGACCACAAAGAAATTATTAAACTACTCTGTGCCTCCTTTTCCTCTTTATAAAATTGTAATGTTGATAATAATAACACATGTCTCATAGGGATGGTGTACGTGCTAACATTGTTAATCCAACAGGCATTTGTGGAAAGGCTCTCGGGTACCAGACACTGTGTAGCGTGCTGGCCAGAGTCTATGGTTATTTATTGTGCTTTACCCACACTTCACATAGTGCCTGCCGCATGATATGTCCCTAATAGATAGTTGCTGAATGGGATTGTACAAAGTCAGTCTATGGATAAAACAAAATAGCCCTAATCTTCTGATTTCCAGTCCAGTGCTGGAGACAGCGAAGGTGATGTTGTTACATCACAGTTTTAAAGCTTTTGAGAAATAGAAGGGCCTAGATCTACGTCTTGGGATAAAATGGGCCCATGAACACACATGGTTGGGCCAAGTCTAGAACCCACTCACTTGTTTCTCATGTCTCCCCACGTAAGTGTGAAGGAGGTGGGGAAAACCTGTATGGAGGAATAAAAAATCCCACCGAGGTAGATTCATCAATTGTGACAACTGTACCACTCTGGTGGAGGATGATAATGATGGGGGGGCTATGCATGTGTAGGGGTAGGGGGAAATCTCTGTACCTTCCACTCAATTTTGCTGTGAACCCAAAACTGCTCTAAAAATAAAGTCTATTAAAAAATATCATTGGGGGAAATGGAAAATTCACTTTATTAGGGGAAGGGACGCATAGACTTTTTGATTTTTACGATTCTGACGGAATTGGAAGGTGAACTGAGGAGAGATGATTTTACAAGAATCGGGCTTCTTGGTTGGGTAAATCTGTCATGGCTGACCTATCTTACTTGCAAAGCATTTCCGTCTGGGTTTTATTGGGGTTTCACGAAAGGGTGCATGTTTAAAAATAAAAACACTGTAAAAATTTGGTACATATTTCAGAGAAGATGGTATGCAAGGAAGGGAGTTGCTGATGATTGGGTAGACACACCCCATGGGGCTGGGCTCTTTCTCACTCGTGACCTCCAAAGCCTTCAGTGGTGCGGCTGTCAGTGGCACTGGAGACACCATGGGCCAGGCTGGCCAGGAGATAAGCAAGCACAGAAATGGAAAAGTCCAGCCCACTGTTCTGCCCCATCACTCCTGATAGTCACCAAGAAGTATTCCAAAAATGGCGGAGTCACAAGTGGGGTGCACCCAAGAAGGCTTGGCTCTCTCTGTGATGGCTTAAAATGGTTCAGTTTGGCTTTTTAAGCCCTGAGCTCAATTATTCCTCTCCTAGACCTTGTGAAGCAAGAGCCACGGCTCTGCCTTATTCCGAGGAAACATGGAGCCAAGGAAGGGCCTCTTCACCCAGGAGTCTGGCAAAAGACAGATCCCACATGCAATCCCTGCGACATCCCTCGCCTATCTCTGGGCTTTTCCTGGAAAAGTCCATAATGGATTTGTGGTCCTGAAAACCCCAAGCGCAAAACAACCGGAGCCTCAGGATTTCCCCCCTTCCCTAATGCTGCCTCTGCTCCAGGCTGCCTCCCACAGTCTAACCAAAGTCCCAAGGCGTTTAAGCAGAAAGGAGATTCTCACCCCGCTCCCCAGTGAGCCCAAAGTCCACTTCTTGCTTGGCCTTTTCTCTCCCAAATACCTTTTCTCACAGCCCTGATACTACTAAACACAGAACACCAGCTTACCTTCCGAGGCAGACAAGCCAGAAAGACAGGAGAAGAGCCTTGCTCCAAACGCTCTGTTGTGTGTCTGGCCCTACACGGGAGCAGTCCTGACACTGAGGGTTCCCGATTTGCATGTCCCACTTACTGTAATCAGCCCTAGGCTCCAGAAATCCTGGTCTCTCCTCCTCTTGCTGCCTTGAAACCTCTTCCAGGAAAGTAGCCACCAGTATGACCACACTGTGGCCACTCTCTGTTTTCAACCAAACTCCTAGGGTTTTCACTTCTACCCTCTCTTCTCACTGCAGCCCTTCCTTGTTGTTGGGCCATGTTTCTGGTTTGTCCGCTTGTTGCATGTGTGAGGATTCCCTCCCAGGGCAGGGGTGTAGGAGTAATCTTCGCCCAGAGTTTTGTCCTTCGAGCTCGGTCCCTCAGCCTGGATCTTTGCCAGAATGATACCCATGCAAAATCAAGCACTCAATCAAGACTTTGTCCAGAGCCTCTCACTGTGAGAGGCTGGTTTAGAACGTGACCAGAGCCTTTGGCTTAGAGCTCCTGGTTTCCTTGGAAACTAGGATTGTTGGGGCTGAGCCTTGGAACCCAGGGGCCCAGGAACTCACAATGTTCCTTCCTCTTTGAAAGAGGGAGGCGAAACTCAGAGCCAGCCCCTAAGGAAGAGACAGACGAACCACAGCCTCCAGCCCCTGCGTCGTCTCTCCATCCATGGGGCTAGCTGATTCCTGGCAGGTGATCACAGGACTCGAACCCTCTAATAGATAAACACTCACCTGTTCCGCAGCTCAGCTCAAAAGCCAGGAAGAGAAACAGCAGGAAGTTCAAGGAGAGGAGTCCCCTGGGATCCATCAGCCAGTGAGGAGAGGGAAGGGAGCCTGGCGAGGAGCCCGGCAGCTGCTCACAGACGCCACAGCAGAAGCAAGCTCCGTATTAGGCAGTGCTGCCTCTACTGTCTAGTTTAAGCATCAGGAACCAGCAGGCTTCCTGTCTCACGGGGACTTTTTCTGCCTATGGTCTTGAGGATTGCTCATTTCTTTTCAGGCCTTAAATCACTTCGTGTTCCCGAGAAGTCCGAGTCAGGTGCTGAGACGACAAGAGCCGGGAAGGGAGCTGTGTAGTCACCTCGGCCAAACCCCAGCTTTGGGCAGAAATTTGCTCCCCTCTTCCTCTTCTGAGCTGTTTCCAGGAAAGGGGTGCTGAGCTTCTCTGGGCAGTTCTTGTCTGGTGACTCTTCTTAGGGTGCAAAGAAAAATGGAGTTTTGTCAGACCCCTCCCCCTCCAAATTTTGGTCAGTCAGTTCAAAGCTGAACTTGGATGACTGAACACTGAACTTTACTGAGCTGATGGACCTCTTACTTCTGACTCGTTGCATAATTTCAGAGAACGCCTTGACGTGCAATCAGGTCCTGGTGCCAAGGTCAAAGAGAGGTGGAGTGGGCAAGGGCAGATCATTGGCAGAAACCCAATTTCCCTGCTGGGTACAATGTGGCAGAATTCAGTGAGCCCCGTGCAGTGTTTGGATGGGCCACCTTTATTTTAGAGCTTGTGTTTAACTTCTTTTTTTATTCGCCCTGAGCTAACATCTGTTGCCAATCTTCTCCTCTCTCTCTCTTTCTTTCCCCTCCCCAAAGCCCCAGTACATAGTTGTATATTCTAGTTAGAGGTCCTTCTAGTGCTTCTATGCAAGCTGTCGCCACAGCATGGTTACTGACGGATGAGTGGTGTGCTCTCACACCTGGGGACCAAACTCAGACTGCCGCAGTAGAGCACGCGGAACTCTGATCACTCGGCCATCAGAGCTGGCTCAACTATTTGTTGAGGAGAAGGGACTAGAATGCACAGAAGAAAGACCCCGTGTTTTTCCATGAGTTAAACTGTAAGAATAAAACACCGGAAAGATGCCATTACCAGTGCTAACAAAGAGACTTTGAAAGGCTAGGCTAGTGCTTTTAAAGTCCATTTTAACAGGTCAAAGGCACTCTCCAATGAGCTTCCCTGAGGGGAGCAGAGTAATAAGAGTTGGTGGTATATGTGAACTTGCTCTTTATCCTCACTGTTTTCCCCGCTCCCTCACCTGACACCCAACCATCCTCCCCACAACACTACCCAGTGGTGGGCTGGAGCCTCTCACCTCATGAGAGTTAACCACCAAATTTTCAGGGATCTTATGGGCTGGTTGGTTGATAAACATTACTATTATTAAAATTTGAATTATAGAAATGTAAAATTAAATAAATTATATTGAGAACAGAGGGAATAAAACTCAAAACTCATTACTTCCTCATTATTTTATGACATTTTACTATTATCTACACTCTTGAGGACAGTTGCATCAATTGCATCTCTGTGGTGGCAATAAAATACCAGGTTATGTGCTGCTGCACCTCTCTTCCCAGCTCTGCATTCAGTGACATCAATGTTGGTAGCTTGAAATCAACCAGCATGGGACTATACATATCATGAAAATTAGCAAATGATATAAATCGGAGCTTTGATGTATTGTTTTGTTGACTGACTAGATGTAAGAAAGTGATGGAGAAACAGAAGTGATGCAGATTAACCTTAAAAATGTGTCATGACTGTAGCCTTTACATTGTAAGGAGCATAAAAAAATTGAGGAAATGTTTTTCCGGTAGTTGAAGCTATCATCTTATTCAAAAACTTTCATCTTATTCACTAGTGTCACTGACAAGTAAGTGAGGTTGCAATATACGACTTTGATGTTTCACATTTCTTTAACTTAAAACAGATAAAAAAAATGGCTGCAAGCAAGAAGAGAATGGCGTGAAATATTTAAAGTATTGAGGGGAAAAAATACCAACCTAGAATTCTTTTTCCTGTGAAATTATCCTTCAAAAGTGAAGAAGAAATAGTTCCTCAGAAAAATAAAAACCGAGGGAATTTGTTGCCAATAGTTTTGCTTGCTAGAAATGTTAAAAGACGTTCTTCAGAAAGAGAGAAAATAATACAGGTCAGCAACAGATCTAAATAAATAAAGGAAGAATATCAGAGAGGGAATAAGTGAAGGTGAAATAAAAATATTTATTTTTCTTACTCTTAATTTTGATCTAACAGATAACACATTGTTCAAAATAATAACAGCAACAGTGTACTCAATTCTGTGTGCTTATGTATATATCTTATGTACATTATACGCCTACGTATGCTTATATATAAGTGAAGTGAATGACAGCAATGATGCAAGGGACAGGAGGAGGGAATTAGGATTATTTTGTTATAATACTTATACTACCCATGAAAGAGTATAGTGTTATTAAAAGTGTACTTGGATTAGTTGTAAATTTATGTTGCAAAATCTAGGGCAACCACTAAAAAAAAGTAAAAAAAAAAGGTATAACTGATATATTAAGAAAGGAGTGAAAATGAGGTCAGACAAAATGCTCATTGAAAACACAAAAGGTGGAAAAAAAGTGGAAGGCAATAATAGTAACAAAGAAGAAGGACAACAGGGCCAGCCCTGTGGCCCAGCGGTTAAGTTTGCACGTTCTGCTTTGGTGGCTGGGATTCGCTGGTTCGGATCCCAGGTGTGGACCTACGCACCGCTTCTCAAGTCATGCTGTGGCAGGTGTCCCACATATAAAGTAGAGGAAAATGGGCATGGATGTTAGCTCAGGGCCAGTCTTTCTCAGCAAAATGAGGAAGATTGGTGGCAGATGTTAGCTCAGCACTAATCTTCCTCACAGAAAAAGAAAGAAAAGAAAGAAGGGCAACACATAGAAAATAGTAACAATTATGATAGATATTGATAATCATTTTGAATGTAGATGGTCTAAATGAACCAATTAGAAGAGAGAGATTGTTAGAGTGGATTAAAAAACAAGACCCAACTATTTGTTGTCTGCAAGAAACCCACTTAAAGTATAAAGACACATGTAGATTAAAAGTATATGGATAGAGAAAGAGAAAACATGCTAAGAAAGAGAAAACACTAACCAAAAGAAAGCAGAAATACCTATATTAGTTTCAGACGGAACAGACATCAAAGCGAGGAAATTCATCAGAGATAAAGAGGGATGTTACATAATGACAAAGGGGTCAATTCTCCTAGAAGACATAACAGTCCTTAACATGTATGTGCCTAACAATAGAGCTTCAAATACATGAGGCAAAACTGATAGAACTGCAAGGAGAGGTAGATTAATCCACTATTATAGCTGGTGACTTCAGTACCCCTTTTAGACATAAACATATCCGACAGGCAGAAAATCAGTAGGGACATCATTGAACTCAACAGTACCATCACTTAACTGGATATAATGGATATCTAGAGATGACTTCATCCAACAACAGCAGAATACACACTCTTCTCAAGTTCACATGGAGCATTCACCAAGATAGCTCACCGTCTGGGCCATAAAACACATCTTATCAAATTTAAAAGAATAGAAATTATACAATATCTGCTTTCAGACCACAGTAGAATTAAATTAGAATCAATAATAGACAAACAACTAGAAAACCCCAAAACATGTGGAGACTAAACAACACACTTCTAAATAACACAAAGGTCAAAGAAGAAGTCTTAAGAGAAATATTTTAAACGAAAATGAAAACACGTGTTGTCAAAATTAGTGAGATGCAGCAAAATTAGTGCTTAGAGGGAAATTTATAGCATTGAATGCATACATTAGAAAAGAAAGACATGAAATCAGTAATCTAAGCTTCCACTTTAGTGAACTAGAAAAAGAAGAGTAAATTAAATTCAAAGTAAGCAGGAAAAAAGAAATTAAAAATTAGAGCAGAAAGCAATGAAATTGAAAACAAGAAATCAATAGAGAAAATCAACAAAACCAAAAGCTGGTTCTTTGAAAAGATCAACAAAATTGATAAGCCTCTAGCCAGGCTAAATAAGAAAAAAAGACAAAGGACACAAATTACTGATATCAGAAATGAAAGAAGACTATCCCTACCATGACCATGGATTTTAAAAGGATAATAAAGGAATACTTTGAACAACTCTATGCCTGCAAGTTTAATAGCCTAGACGAAATGAACCAATTCCTTGAAAGACACAATCTGCCAAAACTCAAACAAGATGAAACAGACAATCTGAATAGGCCTATATATTAAAGAAATTGAATCAATAATTAATAACCTTCCAAAACAGAAAGCCTCAGTTCCAGATGGGCTTACCAGTGAATTCTACTAAAAGTTTAAGGAAGAAATTGTACCAATTCTCCACAATCTCTTTCAGAAGATAGAAGTACACAGAATTCTTCCTCACTCATTCTATTCTATATTCTAACTCACTCTAATATCAAAACGAGGCAAAGATATTACTAGAAAAGAAAACCATAGACCAATATCTCTCATGAACATAGGTAGAAAAATCCTCAACAAAATATTAGCAGATTGAATCCAACAGTGTAAAAAAAGAATTATACACTACGACCAAGTGGGTTTTATCCCAGGTATGAAGATTGGTTCAGCACTCGAAAACCAATTAATCCATCATATCAACTAGGGAAGAAGAATCACATGATCATATGATTAGATGCAGAAAAAGCATTTGATGAAATTGAACGCTCATTCGTGATAAAAACTCTTGATCAGTTAGGAATAGAGGGGAACTTCCTCAACTTGATAAAGATTATCTACAAAAACCTACAGCTAAGCCATCAAGTTTGTGGTAATTTGTTAAGGCAGCCACAGGAAACTAATACAGGACCTGAAGGGCAACGTGACTAGCCGGAAGTTTACAGTTATTGAACCTGTTACACCAAGCTGCTTCTACCAGCTATAAAGCTATAAAGAACAGACTTTGACAGACCAACCGCAAAAGATACACAGGTGCTAATGCCTTGTAGTTACAAAGCCATTTTCAAGCGTCTTCACATTCACTGTCTGATTTGATCTTTGCAACAGCCCTATGAAGGAGGCAGAGCTGGTAGTGGTATAAGACAGGGTCTGGACCAAACTTGAGGAGCTGACTCTGGGTCAAGACCTCTTTCTCTTTCCCTGGAGTGTACTCTATCCCCACGAACATGCAAGAGGGTGAGGAGGAAGGAAATCCCACCAACTGAA